TGGGAGTTGGAGGGGGCTGGAATTTCGGGGGTGGGAGCCCAGGGGAGAGCCAAGGGTTTGGGGCATTAGCCGAGGGGCGGGGCATTAGATGGTAGTGACTCAGTGGAGGGCCAAGGGGCTGGGACCCAGGAAAAGACTCAGAGGGTAGGGCGGGAGGGGGCACAACTTAGGTGGTGGGAACCCAGGGGAGGGCCGAAGGGGTGGGGCCGTGCTCAAGGACAGGTCCAGGCTGGAGTTGGGGCAGGGAGGAGGACCGCAGTCAGGGTGGGGCAGAGGCAGGCCAAAGTGGGCGGGGGGGGGGGGGGAGCTTGCAGTCATGGTGGTGGGGCAGGAGAGGCCACATCCTGACCTCAGGAGGGCCACCTGTCTTGCGTAGGTTCCTGAGATTGTGAGTGTGCTCCGCTCCAAGCTGCAGGAGACCCAGGAAGAGCACGTCCTGAAGGCTGCCCAGCACAGTGTATACCTGCTGGCCTCCCAGCACCGTGCTGCCGTTGTGTCCAGCCTGCTGGGCAGCCCCCTGCCCTTTGACAGGTATCTTTCCACTTCCTCTTGACACTAGGCCCTGCCCTGCCCCCCTTTCTTCATGGGAGCCTTGGGCCAAGTGGGGATGACAGACAACCCTATGGAGACTTGACCCCACGAGCCAGTGCCCAGCCCTTCTCATCCTCAGGCTCTCCTTCATGCCCTCCCGGTGGGCAGTGGAGCTTCTGTCCCTGCACTTCCTCTCCGGAAGCCATGAGGCCACACTGGCCTCTCCATTAGCTGTGTGACAGTGGACATTGGGCCACATCAGAGGCCTGGTGCACAGTAGGGGAAGGGTCACCTGCAGCCCTGGTCTCACCCCCAGCCTGAGCTCCCCTTAGTGGCCTGGACCTTGGCGCACCCTCAGGCTTCCCCTGGTCCCCCCACCCCGGTGCCTCTGTTGAGAGCCCCCCATTCCCCCGGCAGGTGGCTCCTCTTGTTCTCTAGGGCACAGCTTGCATCTCGTCCTCCCTGCACCCACAGGAGCCCTTCTAGCTGACCGGGACACCCTCCTGAGCCTGAGCTCCAGAGCCCTGTCTTGTTTGTGCTGGCTACTGGTCTCTTTCCATGTAGTTTTAAATTTTGACTGAGTTGGTGCTTTTTATGACATTTCTGTTGATTTTGTTTTTGTTGTTGATTTGTGACGTGGGAGACCCTGTGTGTCACAGAGAACTGCCCTTCAGGTTTTCTTGGCTGTAATCTTTACGGAAGCAGATCACCAGGTGTGGGTCTTACGTAGAGCTGCTGGGTGGGTTTGAATCACCAACCTAATGGTTATCATCTGAGCACAAACCAGCTACACCACCTAGAGACCATCATCAACTTATCTTCCCACTATGGACATGTCAGGGACGCCCAAGGTAGCAGGCGGGAAGAGCAGGAGAAAGGGGATTAAAAGCCAGGAAGCCAGAGAGAAGAGCAATCAGCCAAAGGGATTAGGTGAGGAGAGGAAACTCAGGCCCGCCCAGAGTACCAGGCCAGAAGAGCAGGAGAAAGGGGATAAAAGCCAGGAACTTGGACAGA